TGATTGAGTGCTTGGTGATAGTCATACTTTGTAAAGCCCTGACACCCAATCCCCTCTGGGCAGGGGATAGCTGTGCCGGTTGAAGCAAAAATAGAGGAGTGTAGAGAGGGCTGAGAGCTTCCACCCTTCCTGCAGAGCTGCAGTTTGACACTTTGACACATCAGCCTTGCTGATGAGATTTCCTCTTAGTCTTCGCAGCACATGATTTCCAGGTGCTGTTCTAATAGCTCTGAACTTTTGCCCAAGGGGGCTTGGCTGGCAAACTCACTAGTTCTGTGTTACAGTGCCCACTTTCCAGTAGTGGTGAGCTACTGCAGCTTTGATGCCTGGTAGTTTTTATACTTAAAAAAAATTGCTACATTTGGCTAGGGTGGAGGTCTCTTGGAGGAGGAGTTCTTTGTTGTGGAAAGTCGAGGTTCAAGGAAGTGTCTTAATATACCTTGAACGAATTCTAAAGTGAAGTGACTCTGCAGTTAGGTCCTGAGACCCGTGAAAAAGGAGGCTTGCTGGTACAGTTGTGTTGCTGTGTTATTTCAACAGCTACTGGGCCACAGATAACCATGTACACACAAAAAAAAGAGACACCGAAGAAGTGTGGTCATGTGTAGAAGTTGTTTACAAATTAAGCTTACTGGCTGGAAGAGAGATACCTCCAGGAAAATGACTAGAAAGGGCTGGTTATTGTGTGGCACTGGCTCTTGTCTGCACTGAGTGGCAGCAAGAGACTTGTCTCTGCAGGCTTGTGTCTGGAGCAGTCATGTTAGAACAGTTGTCTGGGGAGGTTATGGACTGCACTGACTTTTTGGCATGTGAAGATGCAGCGAAACATGACAAAGATGATAATGTGATGACTAGAGCAGAAGAGAGTGGACCATCATTTTAAAGTCAAACAGCTGTATTGGAAGAGCTCCCTGCTACAGGCAACCCCCCAGGAGAGGAGTATGGCATTTTTTATGTGCTTCAGGTTTCCTTCCTTATTGCAAGAGGAAGAAGATTTAAAATTTTCTGTGAAGTTACCCTAAGACAGCTTTCCTTGAGAATTGCAAATATAATGCACTTTCACTTAGTCTGGGCTTAGTGGGGTTCTCCTAAGTGCTGAAAAGTTCATTAGCTTATGTACCCAGTTTAATGTTGCCACAGCATTTTAGGTAACAAGTATTTCCTTATTACTATTTGAATTGACTTACTGTACGTGCTGAGCCAGTTGCTTTGCTGTGAATTGTACCAGCTTTTATGGTGTTATGAAGGTTGTATCTAGGCTGAGTAGCTTTGGGCTGTTCAGTCTTTACCAGCTTTCTCCTCTAAGTTCATAATTTTGAGCTCCAATGTGGTATTAAACTTAAACCTCTCTATAGTGGCTTTTCTGCTGGATAGCTCTTGATGGAAAGTTCACGTGTTACTGCCAGAGGCTTTGACTAAGCACATAGTTTTGATGTCTAATTAGTGAAACAGGGAACTTCCTTTGCAGTGACAGAGTTGGGATGGGAGAATATTTTTTTTTCTCTTAGATTATTTTGTCTACGTATTGACATTGTTAGATGTAGCCTTGCCTGTTCCTTCAAGTGTAAACTGCAAGTCTAGGAGGAGGATTGGAGAAAACCCTTGTGCTGGAGCTTATATTTGCAACCCCTCTCAAAACTTGGAGGAGCTCCAAACCCAGGACCTGTGCCACTGAGTTATTAGTTTTGAGTTCTGCATGACTGTTCTTCAGTGGGGAGTTTGTATCTTGTAACATTGCTTATCTGGAAAGTGTAGGAACAGAAGTGGACCACTGGGGCTCAGGTTGTGGCTGTGTGTGTTTTTTCAAAGCTTGTTGTGTGGGAAGCATCTGCCCAGTTGGTTTCAAACTTGATGGGATGTAGCAGCCATATGCTTCATTGCCTGGGAGGTTAATTTTTTTGTCAGTTTGGCTCTTGTTTTTCTCAGGTGGTATTTTTTCCACTTCCTTCTGTGAGGAAGAGGGAGTCAACAGACTTCCTCACATGTGTAGAAAAGTGTGGTGTTTTTTTTTTTTAAGGTAAAAAAAGTGCTATTTAAAAACCTGTTGGCTGGCAGATGCAACAGGCTGTAGCTTCAGCCTTTTCTCTTGGCTTACTCTTACTGTTTTCCCCAGGATTCAAAGGTGTTTCTGGCTCTTTTCCCATGTATGCATTTACTAGTGGTGCCATAATGTATAGTGGATCTTCTTTAGACTACGATGCTCAAGGTTGTGGCACAAATCTGTTCTTCTCTAGTGCATCATGATTTTTATCCTGTGTCTTCCTTCATGCGTTTAAAAATCCAGAACTTGGAGAGAAATTTGTTTACATTAGTTTGCTTAAAAGATTGTTTCTGTGCTTGTGGGCAGAGACTTACAAACTCTCAAATGAAAACCACATAGAAGAAAGACCTGTAAGTTTCAGTGCTCTTTTCTCATGGCAGTATGGGCTGCTAATGGTTTCTTGGATGTGTCGAGACTTGTTTATGTGTGATGTTAATAAAAAATGGCTATTCTGTGGTAACTAACACTCATTCACACCCTTCTGTAATCTGAATTTTCGAGTTTAAGCAAGTTCTACATTTACATTTTAAAAGCAATTGGACGTTCTTCACCGTGTTCTATCCAGTTTAACAGCAGAGTCCCCATTTGAACATGTGTGCAGTTTCTGGAGTCCAGAAGCGAACAGCACAGCTAACTTAAAAGGCTTGAGCTAGAACGTGTTAGCAGCTAAACACACTTCCCTGCCCCTTCTGCAGTAGTTCCATGCTAGTGAGAGGTCTGGTAAAATGCTGCTCTACTCTGTGAAAACCCTTTGGTTGGACACTGACACTGCTGTGAGTAATGCTGCTTCACATAACTGGAGTGCCTGCAGCAAGGAGCAGGACCAGCCTGTGCTCGAGGGCAGGGGACAGTGTTCAGAGCTGCAGACAGGGAGACTTGGACAGAAACATCTGCTGTGCTTCTGCAGTTGGTTGAAGTGGCCCTGTTTTTGTGCCTGTGCTGCCATGGGTAGTCAGAGCTGTGAACCGTTTTGGTTGAGGATGGGAAAGCTCAGAGCACTTCTTTCAGAGTTGAAGCTAAACTGACCAAGTGAGAAACTGTGGCATCAGCAATAAAAAAGGCAATGCTTTCCTCTAGTTTGGAACCAATGTTTCTTTTTTAGAAAGAAAAAAGCCATTGCTCTAAGAGTATTGGTGGGAGTGGGATGTTGTCAGTTTTAGAGTTTGAAGCCAAATCACTCTTACAATGACTTGAAACAAAAGGGTGAGAGTTTTGTTTCCTTGAGATGGTTCAGGTTGGGGTAGTGGTCACAGGTAAGCTATCACAGCACTAATCCAAAGCTCAAAGTGCTGTGTGTGCAGTTGCAGCTGATGCTTCCTTGCTGCTCTGGGGGGTGAGGTTTTCTGGTGAGGAGAGAGTTCAGTCTACATACATAAGCAATCCCTTCTGGCTGTGGGTAGGATTATCCAGGCAGTTGGCTGAGGTGAATCCCTGGATGTGCAGAACCAGTTTTGATCACCATCAGCCAGCGGGGATTTGAACTGGCTGCCTGGAATGGAGACACCTGCTCTCTGGTGACTCCTGCGTAGCCAGTGTGGGCAGCTGGGACATGTGTGGTAATGCTGGTAGGGGTAGGGAAGCTTAAGACCTCAGTGCTGGATCTAGATGCTGTGCGTGGTGCTGGTAAGATGGGGCAGTGTGTAAGTCTGGCCAAGGAGGATGGAGGTGAGGTAATATGTGTGAGAGATGCTTTTGTTTCCAGGCTGGGATTCTTGTGTGCATCTCATCTGCTGTCAGATTCACTTTGTCTTCATTAAGATTTTTGTGAAGGCCTTATTTGCTCAAACAGAAGGTATTTAGATTTGCTGCCCCGGTGCTTCCAATTAGTGAACTTGTGCATCCAGCTTCCTTCCAGTTGTTTATTGAACCAGGTGTCTGCTGCACAGCCTCTTCCCTTGCTCTGAGCATGACCTGCTTTCCTCATGCTGGCAGAAAAAGTAGGGCAGATTTCTAGCTTTGGGTATTATTAGCCAGGAAACAAAAAGACACCCTGAGTTTTTATCACCCCCTCCTGAAAGTGCTAACCTATGATGAGGGAGTGCTTCGGGAAGCAGTGTGGTGATGCCAAGAGCCATGGTCTGTGGGAGGGTGAAGATCAGGCCCTCCAGTCTGTTCCCTGGCTGCCGGGAGGGGTTCATTTGGCTGCAGATGGAGGGACAACAAAAGGGCTTCAACTGAGTCTCTAATGAAGTCCTTGGATAGGAGAATTTCTAGAGTTGAGGAACATAAACCATAGACTTACACTAATTTTTTTAGGCATAAGCCAAAAGTTTACCTCAGAGTGATGCTGTGCCTCTGAGTGGCAGCAAAGGTTGGCCTGGCTATCCTTGTGTGTGGCCTTGGTTCTCAGGACACCACAGGCACTGCTGGTTGAACTGCATTTAGACTTTGCTAGTGCTGTTTTCTGTACACCTGTGGTAGGGATGTAACAGGATTCAGGCTGGAAACAGCTTGATCCCGTAGGTTTTTAAAACTGATTGTTATACATTCCTGGAGCCCAGTGTTAATACTGTATCTCTCTGACCAGCTGATGACATGGATTGCTGAAGGCCAACAGTCCAAAGAGGATCCAGACCACTTGTTAAAGTAGATGGGTTTTTCTGGTGATCTGCTTTAAGAATTTTGTCCCCACCTTTGTGGCTAGATGGTGATGTGACAGTTACAATAGTATCGATTACTAATCAGCTGCTACTTAAGCCACAAATTTACTGTCTCTCGCTAAAACTTCTAGGGAACTGACGGGTAACTGCTGTTGTAAAGAATAACCAAAGGTTTTTGTCCTGACCTACCTTGTTTGATCCCTTAAAATAGAACAATGCTGCTCGTATCTGACTTACCACAGCTTGGCAACTGTATATGAATAACCTATTTTGTGACATGCTTTCAGCTTTTGTTTTGATTTTTTTTTTCCTCCAGTTTTAATTTAATCTATAATACTGTTCTTTTTCATTTCTTTCAGAATGGACTGCTGAATTGGGATTTATTGCAGACTCAACAGTACAGCACTGCTCGTTGCTTCATCTATTACTAGTTATTTAAATTGGACTTTTAATATCCTGCCAGCTGCTGTCCACACACACATGGTGCATTGTTGCCATTCTCAGAATTGCATCTTTGAAACCCAGACCCTCAGTAACCTTCATCGAAGAAAGAGGCGACCTCCTGTGTACTTTTATAGAGGGATTTTTTGGACCTGCTGCCCTCTAGCTTTCTTGCTGGTGCTGTATTTCTGAGACACTATGGAGCCCAGTATGGAGTACTGCTTGGCGCAGGTGCTGCAGAAGGATGTTGGAAAGAGACTTCAGGTTGGCCAGGAATTGATCGATTACTTCTCAGATAAACAGAAGTCAGCTGACCTTGAACACGATCAGACTATGCTGGATAAAATGGTTGATGGACTTGCCACTTCTTGGGTAAATTCCAGCAATTATAAGGTAAGAATTGTCAGGTGGAATGTGACTACTATCAGAAGTTTTGATGTCAAGTGCTACTTGATGTAAGTTGTATAGTAGACATGTTGTACGTTTCTGTAAAGTGGTAATTATGCTGAATCCACCATTGCTGTTCCAAATCTTGGTAGCTGATAACTGCTATGATATTGAGGACTCAAGGCAGTAAGAATTCAGTAAATGGTGTTTTAAGCACAAACGAATTTACATTTGGTGTTCATAGTTTGTGATATCCTGGTTTCTTTGTGTACCTTGTTAGCTGGTGGCACGCTTTGATCATCCCAGTAGTTAGCAGTGTTCATTTCCTGACATATTAACAAAGTTTGTAAAACTACAAAAAGCATATATAAACAGCAGTATTTTTTGTTGTCATTAAATCTTGCCACATTTTTTCCCTATTTTCTGTGGGCAACTTAGACACAGTAGACCAATTCTGCCTAGCTCAAGAAAGGCAGTGTGTGTGTGTATGTATCTTCTGTTGAGTGTGATAGTGTAGAAATGCCTTGGTAGGACATGGAACTCCACTGCCTTGTTACCCTGTTATGTTGCTTCATCTCCCTGCAGGCCTTAGTGAGGAAGTCCTACCACAGCAAGTACTGTGGGAGTGGGGAGGGCTTTTTCTCTGTGGCTTGGAAAACTCCTGTCCTGGTCTGTTCTTGAAGCACTTGGACAAGTGTAGTAGGGGTACTTATATGGGTATTATATGGGATGTAATAGGAGACTTTGTTCCTGTCTCTTAAATCCGGGAAAATCTGAGAGTGAAAAGTTCCTACAGAGCTGAGTCTGAAGATACTTAACTGAGGGAGTATTGTATTGGGAGTTTGCACCTGGAGAAGTGGAGGAGAGAGTGGCTGTATAGGTTGCAAGTGCTCTGGAGCTCTTCAAATTCAAATAAATAAATTCAAATTAATTTATTTTTAACAGAAATTTTGATTGAGAAGTGGTGTGAGTTTGCAGAGTGTTGGTTAAAGTGTTTGCACAGCTGCATTTTTTTCTCTACATTTTTGTCAACAAGCAGCTGTGGTAGAAGCTGTTTGGCCTACTGGGGAAAAAGACCCAAACTACACTAATTGATGTGGATCTCAGAGCTATGCAGTGCTTTGCAATTCCAAAGTCACTCTTAGTTTGCAGAATTTCTTTTCAGACAACTTGCTCTCCTTATTAGTCTTTTGTCTGTTGAACTACACACTTACAGTGATCACTGAGGTATTCATTTTCCAGTAACAAACTGGTGGCACTTTTGTACTGCAGTGACTCTGTTCCAGAACTCATGCTGCTGAGCTGGCTGTTCATTAATGTGTGTGTTCTATAGATAGCATTTGCTGTGATTAGTAAGTTTTAGTAAGCATAACAGAGACATGTCTCAGATATCTGGAGAGTGTTTTCTCAGTGAATGGGTATAATAGGGGATGTGAAACCTTTGAGTGGGGCAAGCTGGCTATCTGGAGGTTAGTAGTGTGGTGAGGTCTGCTTCAGGACCCAGCCAGGCCTTAGTGCACCATCGTGTGCCAATTCTTTCCTTTTGTTTTAGTGCCTGCATCTGCCATCTGTGTTTTTGTCCCTTTTCTTCTTGACTGTTTGTGGGGTGGGGGTTCATATGCTCAGCTCTGTCTGGTGTGAAGGGAGCACAGGCGGGCTGGTGTCATCTGATCCTGTTCAGGCATTGGTGTGTCCACCTTGAGAGTGAAAGGCCAAGCATCACTGCCCTAGAATAGCCATCTGGAAAGCTAAACTGCAATTGTTTGGCCACAGCTGAAAAAGTCATCACATTTGTAGTCTGCTTCTCTTCTCATCTCAGTCCCTTCGTTTGAAAAAGTACTAGCTTAAAACAAAGATTGAGATCGTCTGCAGGATTTGAAATTCCCTTACACTTCAGTGATAAAGCCTGTGATCTCAGAATTAGACCAAGTTTGTGTAACAGACCCATTATCTTGGGACAGCATCCAGTTGATTCGTGGTCCCTGCTTGTTTAGGACTCTTCTTTCTGTACACTTGTGCTTACATGTTATCACCAAGGAATCATCAACGAACCAAAGAGAAGTGACATCTCTAAAGCAAACCGATTCAGTTTGAATTAGAAGGAACTTGAACTGATGATGAAATTATGACATCCTTACAGGAAGGGCTCAAGCTGTTTCATTGGCATGCAGTTCTGAACTGTGTAAGTCACGGCCATCGTTGATGTTTTCAGGCTTTGGTGTTTTTCTGTGTATTTTTTTCTGTTTTAATATGACAATATTTTGTGAAGTCCTTGACCCCAGCACCCTGACTGGAAACAATGTAATCTTCTTTTTCAAGTGATGCAGCAAAAAAGAATGATGGAGGGCAGAGACGCTTCTCTTTCCTTGTTGCTGTCCAAGTCTGTAAAAACTACGTCTGAAACATAGTGAGACCTAACACACTTCTGATAGCACTCAGCACTCTGAAACTCTTGTAATAAATTGTCTTATGACCCGATCACTGGTTCCTGCCTCCTAACAGGCAGCTGCCTTAGGTGCAGAAGGTGCTTGGATAGTTCAAGATGCTTTTCAAGTCAAGGAAACCTAAGGATGGTTGTATGAAGCAAGGCACTGAGGTCCAGTGCAAACCCATTTGGGTGATTTTGCCTGCCAGGAGCACTCTTGAACTGCACCCAGCAGGCACTGCCTGTCCTGCATTTTCCCAGCGGTATTTACAGGTGTGTGGAAGACAGAATAATGGAGCAGAGTGAGAGATGAATTTACTTTGAGAGCTCTTACTCCTCTTTGGAGCACACTTACTTGGATCAGACAGCCTGCGTTTGTGTGGGCAGTAGGAGTCGTGTGTTGCACCAACTTGGTTGGGCTGGGGAAGGTCTTGTTGCAGACCAAGGAGGAATCCCGCCTCTGTTCTCTTTCTTCATGTGTTTTGTTTGCTTGCTCTGTGCTGTTTCGGGATGGTGGTTCTGCTTGACTCCATTTCTTTCCCTGCTAAGCATAAAAGGGAGTTATTTTGTGAGCTTTGAGTCTCTGAACTAAGGCCTGCACAGCTGTCTGTCTTGAGACATGAAGCGAAACAGCATAGCAGTGTCAGGGGCTTCAGCGTATCCTCCCAGCCTCACAATCCTGCAGCAAGGGAGAGGGCTGAAATGTCTGTAATCCCTTGGTGAGCAATCTCTCTCTGAGCTGCTTGTGGCACTATTTAGTAATGTTGCTGTTAAGTGTGCAGATCTCCTGGCTCACCTCTGGCTAATGTGCCTTTCTCAGTTCCCAGACTAGGATGTGCCATTGATGTTTCCTCTTGAGGTGAAGGGTAAAGTAATACGTCCAGGATCTTAAAGTGATTTTCTACCAACTTCATATTCCCAGAGCTGAACTGAGGGTGTTTGGCAGTGACCTGCTTCTCCACAACACTACTGTACTGTTTCCCCATCTAGCAATGTTGATGAGGTCTCTTGCACATTTTTCTTCCCTGGGGTGTGTGGCCTGTGCTGTTGGAGTTGAGGTTTACACTGGAAATAGCCCTTGTTATTGCTAGTTGCTTTTTCATAAACGCCCAGGAGTGAAGTAGACGTGGAGATTTGGTGGTGACAGCCTTCAGGCATGTCAGGATCCAACATATTGAAGAGAGATTCTACTCAATGTTTTCTTGTGTTGCAGAGTGGTAGGAGAGGCCAGTTTGAAGTGAAACTGGGTGGAGATTTACAGTAAGGAATTGGATGAAGCTTTTTTTTTTTTCCATGCACTTGGGCAAGGAGTGATTTTTTTTTTTTTTGGGTTGTGCACTGCTCTCACTGGACAGGGTTTGCTTTCCAGGGAGAATATTTCACCCTTGCATGGGACGATCCCTTTGGCCCAGCGCAGCTGATGTGTGTGAAGCTCTGTGCCCAGCAGCCTGCAGGACTGGGTTTTGCCTCTGAGAGGGGACTTAGGGACCGACATGGTTAACAGACCCCCGTGTCTGAGGACACTTCCACATCCACAGCCTCCTGCTGTTCTGGTAGACCCAGTCTGTCAGGCTGGGCTGTGTCCTTGAGCTTGCTTTGTGTTCATGTATGCAGAACTTCAGATTTAATTTGTTTAGCTGATGTTGTTACTTACAGAGACATTATGCTCTTTAAAATATATGGTGAGATGTTACAGAGAAATTTTTTGGTGTGGTAAAATACTGCAGGGAAATTTTGTCTCTCCTGACAGAATTCCTAATAGTGTTAGAGAAAGCAGCCTTCCATTCTGATCTGTTTCTAAATATCAAGCGGTACAAGAGCACGCCTCACTGAACTGAAGAGAAATAAAACTTACATACATAAATTAGCTGGCTTTCCTAAACTGTGTATTGAATAATTTTTTTTTTTGCTTTGCTAATTGAGGGGTAGAACAGATGGTGCAGGCTTAGTTTGAAGTGACATCCATTAGAGTTACTTAAGCTGATGAATGGTTGTTCACTGTAAGCATACATTTGTTCTCTATACCATGTTTATTTTGGTTGAAATTCGGTGGAAGAAGTCCTGATTTAAGAAATAATTATCATGCATGGTTATGGGTTGATATAATTTGGTAAGCTTGTTTTCTTGAGTATTTAATGCATGGGGGGAAAGGATGTCACCATCTGGGGAAGAAAAAGGGACTTGTAAAGGGTTTTCTTTACAGCAGCTGCTGTTAGCTGGTGAGTTTTGGGATGCTGGGGGTACATGAAGATCAGTAATGTGTACATTCATTTAGCGCTTTGATCCCTTAAAATCTCTTTACCAGAGGCTGAAATTGCTAATAAAAATGAATTAAATTAGTTTTGGTATGATAAATGGACTATGAAGGAAGAGTGACCTTGAGATCGGGACTTGCAAGTAGAGCCTATTCCTTGTATGTGCCCATATTGCAAAAGGTATCTTGGCAAAAACTGCTTTTGATGACTCCTCTTGTGGGGAGAAGAGTTACCTTAGGGAGGACTGAAGACTCGTTGGGTTGGAACTACATTTCTGGAGTGTGTCCAGTCCTTATTTTTAGGCTTTTGTGCTGGCATACTCCTAA